ATAACCGCAGCTCTAGATGGGATATGACCCAGGTCAGGTATTAAGTGGAGTAAATAGCCAGCTGGTGTAAGTGGGATTTCTAGGCCAGACACTGTGCGTATTAACGTACTCATATTTGTCCAAAAAGTATGTAAGTTCGTACAGTCCCAAAATATATGTTTTATAGTGCCCTTATCTTTGTTGCATCTCCAGCATACTGATGTGGTTGTAGGATAAATTGTACTCAGTCTACTAGGGGCCATATACCATCTCATCAGTACCTTAACGTAAGCTTCCCCATGTGTGACACAGTTTCAGGAACTTTTAGTGTGTTTAATAGTAGTCTCCCATTCGGCTATTTGGTATACCCTACCTAAGTCCTCCTCCCAATTGGATGAGGGAGGTGCTTTAACTAATGTGTAGCATTTATGGCCTATTTTGCTAAGTAATGATGGATCATGTAATCATGTAATCTATTGCCTCAGACATTAGAATGTGCTTCACTCTTAGATATAGAAAGATATCCCGGTGCGGAAGTTTATGGGAGGCTTGTAACTCCGGGAAAGGGTGGATACCACTGCTATTAAATAATAAATGAACATGGGTTAACCCCTTTTCCGACCAGTGGCAAATGGGAAGATCAGGTGATATTGCGGAGAGAGTTTGTAGTGGAGCCAGGTATAATATTTCCTTGTGGGGACACAGTGTTGTTCCCCAGGAGGCCCAGGATCTGATAAGGAATTTTGTGGTGGGCAATATCATCGGTGTATTAGGGGTGCGTGATGACCACAGAATGTCAGGGAGGGAAAGAATGTTCCCGCATGCTGATTCAAGATTTAACCAAACTGGTCTTGTTCTTCCTGTCATACTATCTAATCCCTGTGCTAATATCGTCAATCTTTAGTAGTGTTTTATGTTGGGGATACTCAGACCCCCTCTTTTCATTGGGGGTTTTCTTTTCCATATGTGGGGGTTTATGGCTGCGTGGAATCTTTTGAGAAGTGCATTAGGAAGAGCTATGAGTAATGTTCTGAAGAAGTATAGTATGTTCGGCAAAATCATCATTTTGATAGAGTTGACATCCTAACCAGGATGTATTTAGTTTGTCCCATGCTTGCATTTGTTTGGCGATTTTATTGAGAACCACTTCATGGTTTTCCTTGATAGTGTGTGTTCTGGAATGAGTTAATTTGATGCCCAAGTATGAAATGGATGTTTTACGCCAATCAAATGGATATTGTGTCTTCAGATTGTCTTTGGTGGGTGAGTCTATTTTTAAGGGAAGAATCTGGGTTTTGCTGATATTGTTTTTATAGAATGAAATATTGCCGTATGACGCTAAGGTGTCTAAGAGAAAAAGTATAATGTCATCTGCGAAAAGGGCAAGTTTTCTTTCTCCTGCTGGAGTTACCAAGCCTGGTAGTAAAGGATCTTTCTTGATTGTTCTTATTAGTGGTTCTAGCCAGAGGATAAAGATTAAAGGGGAGAGAGGGCAGCCCTGTCTTGTGCCATTCGTTATTTGGAAGTTTCTAGAAGTAAAACCAGTGTTAAAAACTTTGGCAGAGGGTTATAAAGGATTGTGAGAATCTGAAAGCTGTTAATGTAGCTTCCATGTATGTCCAGTTTAGGCGGTCAAACACCTTTTCTGCATCTAGTGCCATTAGGACCCCACTCTGTCTGTGACGGTTTGCCCAATCTATTAAGTCCATACAGAATTTAGTGTTATCCCCTATTTGTTTGTTGGGCACAAACCCTGCCTGTTCTTCTGATACTAGATTAGTCAAGAGGGGTTTTAGCATGGAAGAAATTAATTTGGCATATAATTTCACATCTGCGTTTAGTAGTGAAATTGGCCTTAAGTTGCTGAATATTGCAAGTGGTTTATTCGGTTTGGGCAGTGTGATAATGTAAGCGTCCAACATTTCATGTGGAAATTTGCCAACTTTTTTTACAGCGTTGAACAATTTCATGATATGTGGAGTTAGTTGTGATTCTAATTTAATATAGTAATAGTTTGAGAGCCCATCGGGTCCTGGGGCTTTATGTTTGGGGAGGGATCTAATGGCCTCTGTTACTCCTTCCTCCATGAACTGGGTGTCCAGGAGTTAATTTTGCTTTGCTGTGGTTTGTGGTAGTGTGATTTGTGTTAAGAAATTTGAAACGTCTGCCTTATCTGGAGTATGTGTGTTCTTGTTTTTATTTAGATTGTAAAGGTCTTCATAAAAGAGGGATAATTTGTCCACTATTTTGTTTGGATTGTATATTTTTATATTGGATTTGGAACGGATATAGGGGATTTTTGTTTGGAGGTATTTGGTTTTAAGTTGGTTGGCTAATAGTTTGCCACCTTATTACCTAAACTATAGTATTTTTGTTGGAGATTTAATACGTTCTTGGTATAGTCTTGGGCGTAGAGTTGTTGAATATCTGCCTCTGTGTCAGCTATTTGTTTGGCCGTGGTTTTGGAAGGGGAGGTTTTATTGTATTCTTCTAGTGCCTTTGTTCAAGCCTTTGAAGTAATGTAGTATTTTTGTTATGAAATTGTTTTTTAATGGTTGAGCCTATTTTAATATATTTTTTTTTCTAATTACTGCTTTATGAGCTAGCCATTGGGTCTCTAATGTAGTTTCTTCTGTGGTGTTGCAAGAAAAATAATTATTTATTTCTTGTGCTATTTTTTGTAGATTTGTGGGTGAATCAAGGATGGATTCATTTAGTCTCCATTTGCCATGGCCTTTTGCTGGGTATGGTACTGCTATTGTGGTTACTATTGGGGTATGACCAGACCATGTTCTTTGTCCTATTGTTTGGTTTTGTAGGTGAGGCAATGTAGATTTGTCTATCAAACAGAGGTCTATTCGCGTGTATGTTAAATGGACTGAAGAAAAATATGTGCAATCTTTAGCTGCGAGGAAGAGGTTTCTCCACGTGTTGTAGAGGTTGTGTGAGTGAATGAGGTTCAAGAATAGTTTGCTATTATGGATGGAAGATTTGTTGGGTGGCGTGTTGTTTATACGTTGTATGTCAAGTGAGGGATCAAGTGTGCAGTTACAGTCTCCACAAATTATGACATGACCTTGCTTTACAGAAGAGATCTTCTTTATTGCTTTGTTAAGGAATGAGAATTGAGTATCATATAGGGAGCCCACGGTTATTTAAAAACCCATTTAATTCTCCCACGTATATCAACAATCTGCCTGCTTGATCTGTATACTGCTTAGTTAATGTGAATACCCAGTCGGTATGTATTAGAATTGCTACACCTTTAGATTTATTGGGTGCATATGCATGGTATGCTGTGGGGTATTTTGTCGGGCGTAGTTGGGGTGGGTTTTTCTTACAAAAGTGTGTTTCTTGAAGGCAAACTATGGCTGCATTGACTGTATGCATATCCTTTAACACTTGTCTCCTTTTGTAGGGGCTATTGAGTCCCTTAACATTAAGGGATAACATTTTCATTAAATTGGGCATCGTGAGAGGAGAATGGGACTGCTCGATATGATGTGCAGAGGTTTGGGTCTTTGAATGGGTAGTAGTGTATGCCTATCCATACGTGAAGGTGTGTACAGACCTGAATTGGATTATCATGGGTAAACGTTTCTTGGGCTGTTATTGCGGCAAGGTAATTCTTGTTGTGGATGTCAGACATCGGCCCTTGAGGTATTAAGCCAGATATGCCGTTACCTGAGGGGATGGAAAGGATAAGAGAAGAAAGGAGAAAAAGGGGATAACAAAAACAGAGGTATTTACATATATCTCCCATGGTGGGAAGATGCAAAAGGGTCATGTAGAGAGCACAACAGGTGTCTCAAGAGGTGACCTGGAGGGTAGGAGTGAAGCTCCTATCAACCTGATTCATTTATGCTCATGTGGATCTAACTATATATAAGAGGAACAAATTTAGAAACGAGTAGAGAACAAATACGAAACTACAAGATTTATCACTCTGCTATTGCGTAAATAAATGTGTTGTTTAGACGTGAGTAGGCTTGTTTGCAGTTCACTGAGACCTGACGTATACCAATTGTCCCACTATGTATACAACTATTTAGGTTGTCATCACTGTATATTGTGCTGAAATTAATGATTAGGTTATGAGTGTGGGCAAATTTTGCCTATAACAGTCGGTATAGGGAATCGGAAGTGTTAGCTATATTCCGTACACAGTCTATGCATAATGTACACGCTTTATTGTGCCCATTTAGGCGGATAGTGTACAACAGATTTTTCTGTCTAAACATAGCAATATATATACCTGCAGTTGTAAACCGGACTGTATTAAAAGAGTATCACCGACAGCATAATGCCTGTAATAATTTTCGTTTAAACATTTACATTTCGTCAAGTGCCCGCTGGCATGTTGATCTGCATTAAAGTGTTTGTAAACCTTATAGAGAATGTGGCTGCAAGGCACCTGGATGGAATACAATCACATCATAATCATATCGTTTAGCGTTATAACTAAAATAGAAATGCAAATCATAAGGAATAGTAATTCTACCATATCCGTAGGTTTGAAAGCATATCTAAAAAATAAAATAATGCATTTGCAATAACCAGAGAATATACCAGTGTAACCTTCATGGTGTGAACGGTAGTTGTAACAACAGAGTTTATGTTTTCTTGTACGACGATCCCGCCATGTTCCATTCTGCCTGGAGTCGTCTCGGGGAGGTTCCAGTTGGTGGTGTTCCTTCTTGGGCTGCGGTAGAGTTGTTCCATAGCCCCCAGTCGGTAAGTAATTTCATTCCATCGGCCAGCTCATTGATCACTTGGGTTTTTCCTTGTCGCCAGACGAGCAGTTTTTTTGGGTATCCCCACTTGTAGGACACGTTGTTGTTGCGTAGAGTTTTTGTAATGGTGATAAATTATTTTCTTCTCGCCATTGTGGTGGCAGATAAGTCCGCAAATAGGGATATTTGTTGGTGAGGATCTGGAAGTGTGACAGCTTTCCTTGCTGCTTTTAGTAAAGTTTCTTTATGAGCATAGTAGTGGAATTTGACAATAACATCCTTGGAAACTTCGCCTGATAGATGTGCTGGGTGGGAGTCTATGCATGTGGTCGAAGGCCCATGCGGAGTCAGGAAGGCCTGGGACCAGGGATTTGCATATAGAGAGAATGTACGCTGGTAGAGAATCGTGGGACACATCATCCGGTATGCCTCGGAAACGGATGTTTTGTCTCCGTGATCTGTCTTCAATATCTGCTAGTTTTAATTTTAGTGCAGCATTTTCTTCTGATATTTTCTGTATTTCGTCAACGACCTCGTTGTGAGCAACGCATAGTTCTTCAGTCCTGTTTTCCAAGTGGCTAGTTCTATCTCCCAAGTTAGAGATTTCTCTTCTCAGGTCGCTGTCGATACGATGGAAGTCAGCTGTAATCAAGGTTCCGAGGTCTTGCAGCATCTTGTGAAGGCTGCGTTCTGAGATTGCTGAATCAGAGTATTTAGAAGAGACTGATTCATGATCAGATTGGCCATCCGACATAATTGCTGTGTCATCGCCATCTTGGGTCTCTTTCTGACACTCTTTTTTCAGGATTTTTACAGTTTCTGATAGTTTTAATTGCTTTGACAGAGGCATGTTGTATTATAGCTCACCTTGAGTTGTTTAAAATTGGAGTATTAGTAGTTAGATTGCTTTTTGTCGCTTTTCAGGTTGAGATTTTGACGGAGCTCCTAAGCCATGCGACCGCTTTCGCCGGAAGTTGGACACGCCCCCTATTTGTCTTTACTTTTGACAGTTGAAATAGAACCTCTTCCTCTGTAAACTCACATGTAACAAATGACTCATTTGTCCTTTTTCTTAACTGAGGCCCCTTTCCTTCATCTTCATCTGTAAATACTGAACAAAAATATTCATTGAGGCAGTCAGCTAGACCTTCTAGCTGACTGCTATCCTTTTCTACATACCTTCCTTTTTTGTTTTTAATCTAACTAATCCTTGTTTTACTTTCCTTTTCTCATGTATGTATCTTAAAAATGTTTTGTCCCTTTTTTTACTGACTGTGCTCTTTTCTCTTCAGTGTGTGATTTGGAAGCTCTTATTGTCAGGGTCCCGCGGGTGGCTGCGAGGGGAGGCTGCAGTCCGCTCGCGGCACTCACCCTCCAGCCGTCCGTGGTCCCCCTTCAGCCGTGTGCTCGGCGGGCAGCACCCTCTCTCCCACGGGTGCCGTCCGCCTCTTCCTCTGTGTCTCCCAGCGGCAGCATGCATGACGCTGCACGCTGGGAGACCGCCCACTTTAACCAACGCCGGGGTCAGTCACCTGACCCGGCGTTAAAGGCACAGTGCCTCAATCACAGTGGGAGGTTTAGATATCTCCCACGTGTGATTGTTAATTCTGATTGGAAATTATCCAATCAGAATTAACCTTTGGATTTATATACTTACCTTTCCTGTTCCTCTTCGCCCTGTTGTGGTCTTTGCTTGTTAGTATTGATTCTGAACTTGTGCTTCTGGTTACGTACTCCCTGGCTTGTTATCCGACTTTGTGACTTTCTCCTACCCTTTTGACCTTGGCTTGTCTATCGTTATTCTGTCTTCTGGTTCCCCTCACTCGGCTTGTTTCCTGACTATTCTTTGTGTGCTTAGCCCGGCCACTCTAAGGTCCGGTACGGCACTTTGTGTGTGTGTATGTTGGCGTGTTTGGTTCCCCGAATCGTGACATTACAACAGGGCCATAATGGAACCTGCTGACATACCACAGCTCCTAGTTAATCAGGAGGCTAGAATGGATGGCTTGGACCACCGTATGGACCAGTTTGCCCAAGCTTTACAAACCATACTGGCTCGTACTGCACACTTGCAACCTGCCGTCCAGGAGGCTGCTGCTGCTGTGCCCGAACCCATTCCCACTCCGGTACCCGTTCCTGCTCATGTTGTTCACATGACACCGCCACAACGCTACAGCGGTGACCCAGCATTGTGTCGTGGTTTCCTTAACCAAATTGACATCCATTTGGTGATGAATCCACGTTCCTATCCCACTGACAGATCCAAAATTGCCTTTTTGATTAACCACCTGTCCGGGAAAGCTTTAGCATGGGCTAACCCCATGTGGGAGAATACATCTCCTATGTCCTTTGTAGATTTCTTGACAGCTTTCAAACGTACGTTTGATCAACCCGGTAGGGTTGCCTCTGCTGGCAAAGCTCTGCTTAGGGTACGACAGGGTAATAGATCTGTAGCGGATTATACTATCGAATTCCGCACGCTAGCAGCTGAAGTGGTTTGGAATAATGACGCCCTCGTAACAGCCTTTCAGGAGGGTTTGGCCGCCTACATACTGGATGAAATAGCATCCAGGGAATTGCCTGTTCTTCTAGATGATGTCATAGATTATGTCATTCTTATTGATAACCGTATTAGAGAGAGGCGTAGTCAAAGACGGATGGATACACGGGCATTACCTGCTCCCACCTCTACTGCTTTACTAGCACTACCCGCTCCTAGTCAACCAACCCCCGAACCCATGCAATTGGGTGCTACGGGGCTAACTGAGGCTGAAAGAGCATATCGTAGAAGGGAGGGGTTATGCCTTTATTGTGGAAAGAGGGGGCACCACTGTAATGCCTGCCCTAAGTTACAGGGAAACTACAGCACCTAAGGCCTAGAGAGGGGTCGGCCTCGGGTGTTATGACTTTGTCCCCTCATGTGTCCATCTCCAGACCGTTTATTACGGTTTCTCTTTTGGTCAATAAAACCACCATAACCACCAAAGCCTTGATCGATTCAGGTGCGGCAGACAACCTTATGGATGAGAACTTCGCTAAAACCGCAGCCTTAACTTTGATCCAAAAGGCCACACCCTTGGTCGTTGAGGCCATAGATGGTAGACCACTTGAGAAACCTCTGGTGACCCATGAGACCCAAGAAATAGTGATGTCTGTGGGTGTTTTGCATAAGGAAAGGTTAACCTTCCAAATAATTGACTCCCCTACTGCTTCCATCGTTCTGGGTTTTCCTTGGTTAGTGAAACACAACCCTGTTCTTGATTGGGGTTGCTTGGATATACTATCCTGGGGGGAATCCTGTCAACGAGACTGTATGGCTCATGTACGTCCTGTTTGTTTACTCAACGTGCCCACGGCTAAACCACTCTCTATTTCTGTCCCTTCTGTATATGCAGACCTTGCATTGGTTTTTGAAAAGAGGGAGGCAGATATGACTGTGCCATAAACCTATTACCGGGCACTATGCCCCTTAGGGGTAAGGTCTACCCTCTTTCTGAGAAAGAAAACCAGGTCATGGAGGAGTACATACGAGAATCCTTAAGGAAAGGTTTTATTAGAAGGTCCTCCTCTCCTGCTGGTGCTGGTTTCTTTTTTGTGGCAAAGAAGGAGGGCAATTTGAGGCCGTGTATAGACTACAGGGGTCTGAACAATATAACGGTTAAAAACGCCTACCCTATCCCCCTCATCACTGAGTTGTTTGATCGCGTTAAAGGTTCTAAGTACTTTACTAAACTAGACCTCAGGGGGGCTTATAACCTTATCAGTATAAAGGAGAATGATGAGTGGAAGACAGCGTTCAATACGCGTAGTGGGCATTATGAATACCTGGTCATGCCTTTTGGACTGTGTAATGCTCCTGCTGTGCTTCAGGATCTCATAAACGATGTCCTTAGGGATCTATTGCATGTCTGTGCCGTGGTGTACCTTGACGACATACTTGTATATTCTCCTGATTTGAAGTCACATCATAAACATGTTAGGATGGTGCTTAAAAAATTATTACAGAACGGACTTTATTGTAAGTTAGAAAAATGTCTGTTCGATCAGACCTCTGTGCAATTCCTGGGATATATAATTTCTGAACAGGGTTTTAGTATGGATCCTGCTAAATTGGAAGCTATACTGTCCTGGCCACTTCCCCAAGGACTTAAGGCTATCCAGCGTTTTATAGGTTTTGCTAACTATTATAGAAAATTTATAAAAAACTTCTCACCACTTATCTCTCCTATCACAAAGCTGACTAAAAAAGGTCTACACCCTAGGGTTTGGACTCCTGAAGCCCTTAAAGCCTTTGAAACTCTCAAGAAAGCATTTGCCTCTGCTCCAGTACTACACCACCCTAATCCTTCTCTTCCCTTTGTTATGGAAGTAGACGCTTCTGAATCGGGGGTGGGAGCAGTACTATCACAAAGGTTATCGTATGACGAACCCCTCCATCCCTGTTGTTTCTTTTCTAAAAGGTTGTCTGATCCAGAAAAGAATTACGATGTTGGGAACAGAGAACTATCAGCTATTGTGTTAGCTTTTAAGGAATGGAGGTACTTATTAGAGGGTTCTAGACACAAAATCATGGTTCTAACAGATCATAAGAACCTCTCCTATATAGCCGATGCTAGAAGGTTGTCCGCCCGACAGGCTAGATGGTCTCTATTCCTTTCGCGATTCCAATACATTATTACCTATAGACCTGGTTGCCGTAATGCCAAAGCTGACGCTATCTCTCGACAGTATGAACCTTTAGAATTTGTTAACCCAACCCCTGAACATATTGTACCAGCTTCTCAGATCATAGCTGCTACCCGTTTGGTTGTTTCATCTCCCTTCCTTGAGAATATTAAGACATACCAAACCCAAGCGCCTCAGGAGACGCCTGTTGGTAAACTATACGTGAAAGTAAGTGACAGAAAAAAGTTGTTAACATTATTTCACACCGCCAAAACTGCTGGTCATCCGGGGGTTACCAAGACTTATAAGAGCCTCCTTCAACAGTTCTGGTGGCCTTCACTCAAGCGAGACGTAGTGGATTTTGTTCAGGCTTGTCGGGTCTGTACGCAGTGTAAGTCTCCTAATATGAGACCCCAAGGCCTACTGATGCCTCTATCTCTACCCAAGAAACCATGGACCCACTTGTCCATGGATTTTATTGTAGACCTTCCTCCTTCTGATGGTCAGACGGTGATATTAACTGTGACGGATAGGTTCTCTAAAATGGCCCACTTTATTCCACTTAAGAAACTACCCTCTGCGATTCAGCTTGCCCAGGTGTTTGCCAAGGAAGTGTTCCGCTTGCATGGGGTACCTCAGGATATTGTTTCTGACAGGGGCCCGCAATTTGTCTCTCGGTTTTGGAGGGGCTTTTGTGCTGAGATGGGGGTCTCCTTGTCGTTCACTTCCTCCTATCACCCGCAATCTAATGGTGCAGCCGAACGTGCTAATCAGTCTGTGGAATTGTATTTGCGCTGCTTCACTAATGTGCACAGGACGACTGGTCTCGCCTTCTTCCGTGGGCTGAATTTGCAGGAATGTGGTGTCTCATTCGTCTACTGGCTTAAGTCCTTTTGAGGTTGCTTATGGGTTTCGGCCTTCTGTCCTTCCCGGAGGGTTCTCTGACAAGGGAATGCCCGCCTTGGACCAGCACCTCGCCTCTTTACGGAAGACGTGGGATCAGGTCCATATTGCGCTGTGTCGTTCAGCAGCTGCTCAGAAGAAGTTCGCTGATCGCCATAGGGGTGCGACCCATTCTTATGCTCCGGGTGATAGGGTGTGGTTGTCCTCCAAGAACCTCCG